TCCAAAAGCAGATAATCATACTCTTGTTAAGGATCATCGTCCTATTAGTTTAATTGGATTGCAACATAAATTATTTAAATTTTATTGTCTAATAACGAAGGTGATGATTTGATTCTGGTTCAATCTGATTTTGTGAAATAAAGACAAATCCTGTATAGTTCCTTGATTGTGAATGAAATAGTTTTTTAGGCTCAGAAAAAAATGTTCATGTTTAAAGTGGACTTCAAGAAGGTTTATGATTCTGTTGCATGGGGAGTATCTAGATCTCATGATGGATTTCATGGGGTTTTGTATGAAGTGGAGAGGTTGGATACAAGGTTGTCTTTCTTCATCTTGGTCGCCCGTTTTGCTTAATAGGAATGCGACAAAAGAGTGTGCTATGAGACGGTGGATTCGACAGGCAGATCCGTTATCTCCTTTTATTTTTATATTTGTCATGGAGGATTTACTTGGTTCTTTGGAGGATATGGTACATGGTGTTTTATTTAAAGGAGTTAACGTTGTAACGCCCGCAGATCCGGGCTAGTCAATTTAGAGACAATAAGCATTAAAAATGAGTTTTTGATGAAAGATTATTTAGAAGGATTAATCCTAACCAAGTTGTAGTATATGTTACAAGGGTTCAATACATATAAAGAACGCCGAAATCCGAGTTATAACAAAAAAGTTATGACCCGTCAAAGTTTTTCGGCAAAACCAGCACGACATCGGGAGACGTAAATAGTGAATTTACGATAGAGGACTTTTTAGCCTTAGTAATCTAAAAAAAAGTCCCAAAATATGTTAAACTGAGATCGTCCATAAAAATAACGCTCAAATCTGACTTCGTATGAGGAAGTTATGAATTTTCTAACATTTAGCATAGCAGTGCACGACCTGAAACTCGAATTTTAGTTCGAGCGGTTTTTGGTCTACGCGACCTAGATGAGAGTTGAAGATCTCATTAATAGGAACTCAACAGTAAAAATACAGACGAAAACGGAGTCTGTATATAGAAGTTATGAATTTTACGCTGACATTTGACTATATAATCTCCTCGTACTGTTAAATTTAAGATTGGTCAAAAATTAGCCAACATAGTCAAAACAAAAGTTGTAGATCTTATTGTTACCTACGCGTGGGTATAAAGAACGTCAAAAACGGAGGTCGTATGTGAAAGTTACGGATTTTAGAAGTTGGGAGTGTGCTGTGCTAAAATGGGTGATGTAGCACAATCGTGGCCGTTGCTTTCTCCCCAAGTCTTGCCACTAGATGGTGACATCTGGCACCAAGTTCAGCCATTTTCACCCTATAAATAGAACCTCTCCCACCCACATTCTTTCTTTTCTTTACTCTCTCTCTCTAGAACCTCTCTCTAGCCCCGAAACCCCCCGAAAAGCCTAGGGAACCTCCCTAGCACGAGGTGGAAGCCCCGAAGTGCTCGATGGCTCTAAGAAGAAGAGCTTTTCAGCTCGAGAATTCTGCTCCAAGGAAAGCCCGATTTTCTATAAAACCCGCTGTAAGTGAGCTACGCCTACACTATTTTAATATAGTTTTTATTTAATTATAGTAATGTTATTAGGAACTTATAATAAGTACTTGGGCTATTATTATGGGTTATATAAGTATTTTTTAACGTTTATATAATAGTAATAATAGCTAGACTATTAATTAGTCTCAGCGAATAATAGACTAAACTCTAGTGGTAATAATACTAGGTTTCGTCGAAGGAAATTCTTTTTAAGAAGTGGAGCGCTGTCTGGGTTCGGAATCACCACCTTTTCAAGTGAGTGCATAGTTACTTTCAACTTATATATAGATATGAACAATTTTATATAAATTACGTGTTGTATGTGCATATTATCTGTATACTTGCTATCTATTCTGGATGAACAATTTTATACATGTTTTAATTGATTTAAACTGCATATGTATTTTATATCTACAAAATGTGTTGGGTAAAACATGGGTAGATGTAATAGTTTTTGTGTGACAAAATAAAATAATGAGAGGCCTTGATATAGATGTTATGGATGATCCAGTCATCTACCGGAGTATAGATGATGACCACGGACTATTCTAGACAGTCTAGTGGAACGCTAGCAGGCTTGCAGCCTGTAGGTGTTTATTTGAACTGTGTGCTCATCAACAGTACTCCATCCCCCTCATGGTTGCCTTATTTGACATGAATTACTGAGGAACCCCCGAAGCATGTGTTGTCACACCGATGAAAGTCCCTTAGACTAGGTCCGTTGTGTTAGATGTTTTAGGGACATAAAGTGAGGATAACGGGAACGGTTAATCGGGTTTGTTTGGTTTGATAAACTTAATAAACTTATTTATTGTGGGTTGAAAACCCTATGTACTCACCAGGTTTCCCAACCTGATCCACTCAGTTTATTTATATCACAGGTGTTGATATGAAGTCACATTACACTGAGAGATTAAGGAGATATAAATCACTAGTGATAATGATTGTAAGTTCTGTTTATGCTTATGTTTCTGTATTGACGATGACATCCCAAATGTTTTAAAATGAATAAAAATACTTTTCTTCGGAAATGCTTTGATAATGTATTTATCATGTTTTACTGGGAACAAATTCCGAAACATTTTTATTAAAAGAGGTACTCTGATTTTTATAAAGCATAAACAAAATCGGTCTTTTCTGACCGTGAAAATGGGGATGTCACAATCGTTGAAGTTAGTGATATGTATTTTTCTCATCTCTTTTACGCAGATGACACTATATTCTTAGGTAAGTGGATCTAGGAAAATGTCTAGGTGCTAGTTAGATTGATTTGAATTATTTATATTATGTCTTACTTACAAATTAATTTACATAATTTAAAGTTGTATGGTGATGGAGTTCCTAGTGATGTGATTTAGGAGATGGCGATGTATACCAGATGTGCTTTAGATAATATTCCATTTATTTATTTAGTATTGTTGGTGGGAGACAGAATGAACTGGATGAAGGATTAGGAGAATTTAATTGATAGATTATGTACTAGGTTGTCTAAATGGAAATCAAGGATGCTATGTTTAGAGGCCAACTTTGTTGATTAAGTCGGTCCATGGTAGTATTGGCCATTTGGTCTATTTCATGTCAATGTTTCAAGTCTAAGTCAGTATGTAATCATTTGGAGAAGCTTCATTCCAGATTTTTTTGGTGGAAAAATGGATAAGGAAAAAAAATTCATTGGCCTAAATGAACCTAATTTTAAATGATAAGTTGCACAGGGGTAGTCACTGGGTAGTCTGTAGTCTGAGGTCCTTTAATCTACTTTTATTATACAAGTGACATTGGAGATTCATAAATGGTCCAAATTTGTTATAGGTTTCATTAGCAGCGGATCCAAGAATTCGTATGTTTAACAATCGTAAAAATCAGGTCGAGGCCCACCGTATAACGACCATAACTAATTGTGATGGAGGACTTAATGTACGATGTTCTTATAAAAATAAGTATATATTTTTAACAATAAGAATCATTTAATATAGATTATTATTGGAATGCGACTAGTTATATGATAATAAAATCAATAAGATACATACAATTATGTTTATGTAGTGAAAGAGTTATATTTATAAAAATATCTAAGTCCTTATAAATGTTCACTATTAGAAAATAGACTTTTAATGACGCGCTTGTTACGACACGCGCTGATTAACGATACGCAATAGGACGTGCCCTTAAAATAGTGTTATCTCTCCAAAAAATTTAAGGATTTACGTCACGCATTATTGCGTGCCCTTAATTTAGTGTCTCAAGAAAAAAAATTAGAAACACGGAGGGCGCTTTATCTTAAACGCGCGTCGTCTGTACATGCCGCTTTATAATTTTAATGAAACGCGCTTTTAGTTAATGAAGGGGGAAATGAAATCCCCAAAATTTTGAAAACCCGCCTTGTTTTTTCTATCTTCTATCTATTTTTCATCCTTGCAATCCACTCTCCCCTCTCTGATACTCTCTCCTCTAGATCTCCCGTCATTCTCTACCTCCCATCTCTCTGTAAACCTCGAAGGTGAATCGTAATTGATATGCGAGGTCTCCTTCTTTTTCTTTGTTTTCTCAGGTACAGCATCATCCTAATCCATTAACCCCTTTCATTTTTCATTAAAAAAACCCTAATTGACTTGGCAAGTTCATGAACCAGATGTAGCACATTCCAAACTAGGGATTTAACCAAACCAGATAGAGCCATTGACGGAATCTTTGGATCCGGTCAACAAGGACTCTCTGTAATCACGCAACTTTCTTCACAAGGGATCGCTCCAGGTCTTCAATCTATCAATCTACAATGTCCACTGTCAAGTTACATCGAATCAAGGTCTAGGGTTTCAAATGCTTCAAGTTCTTCCCAAATAATTTCCCCTCTCAAGACAATTTTCCTCGATCGTATCTTTATGGCGATGATTCTCTCTCGATCGGATCGAAGACCGCTCACTCTCTCCTTAGATCTCCATGTGAGTCTGATCCCCCCTCTCTGTAACATCCTCGCTTCCTTCCAAAAGTCGAATACCATTCTCTCTTGATCGTCTCTTTATGGAGAAATTTAGACACAAAAATCTCAACATAAAATTCGTAACTGAACTCCTCTTCACCTCTACCCTACTCTATCTACAACGACTCCTTAAATTTACAAACCCTAGTCCAGTTGCGCTTCTAGTCAAATCAGGTACCTATCTATCTGCTTTCTGAATTCTCCTGGATTGGAAATTTCTTGATACTTCGCTAGCTTTTAAACAAACAAAAATCAGTTTTTCTCTCAATATTCCGTTGGATTTTTCATTCGTGTTCCCCTTACTGGTTTCGATAACCTCTCTAATCTGTGAGGTTTGTGTTTACTTTCTTGCCCTCCCTCTCTCTAAGAAGAAAATGCAGCCTCGTCGCCTTCAATCACCCAACGACATAGGTGAAACTCAAACTTCTCAGACCAAAAGAAATATTGTACGAAAGAAAAGTTGTCCATTAATGGAAGAAGTGCAGGGGGTTGCTTATTGGTGCTGTTGTGAACATGAGACCTGATTTATTTAAGGCTACTGTAGCTGGAGTACCATTTGTAGATGTTGTGACTACAATGCTTGGTCCAACTATTCCTCTTACAACTGCAGAATGGGAGGTGATTTATATATAATATTTTTTTTGTTTTGGAAACTCAAAGCAGGATGCTATGATAATATTAGTATGTTTCTTTCTAAACGTGAATGACTTGCTCTATTGCAGGAATGGGGTGATCCTCGGAAAGAATAGTTCTACTTTTACATGAAATCATATTCACCAGTTGACAATGTGAGTGCCAATGTATCTTGTTTCAGTTTAACTGACATAAATCCATCTGACAGATCATCAAATGAAAATGTTGAAGTTAATTGCTGATGGGTGTCTATTTTGAATAGGTAACAGCTTAGAATTATCCATCCATAGTTGTTACTGCTGGAATAATGGTAGGTTGTCAAGAGTGATATTCAGGATGTGATTGATAAAGATGGTGAGGGGTTCACTATGGTCACAAAAAAAGCTGGAAATGTAGGGACTGTTGTTGTGAAGGGGTACGGTACAGGTGATATTCATCCTAATGTTTCTGGAAGCAAAGGTAGTAATTGGAATGGAGGGAATAACAAAAGAGGAAGCCATAATAGTGTTAATAAGGGTAATAAAGGTTGGAATAACATAAGTCATAGTGGGAATTGGAATAGGGGGAGTGCTAGCCATTGGAATCATCAAAAGAAACAGGAGTTTGTTGCTGCAAATAATAAATCTTTCATTGTAGATAAGCAGGGGCATAATGGGGAAGAGAGTGTGGATTCTAGGAAAAAAGAGGAAAAAGTGGAGAAGGGAAAGGATTTTAAGGGTAGCCAAATTATAAATCTTTCATTGTAGATAAGCAGGGGCAGTCTTCTCCTAATTCTATGGAAAAGGTTGTCACACAATCAACTTTGTGATTGTATATTGATGATTATAGATTGGTGGCTTTGAGAATCTAACAATAACTTTAACTTTTTTTTTCTTGCAGATATCAGCAGAATCCTGTTTTGCTTCTGATATGTTGGTCAATAATTATGACAGTGGTCAAACTGAGGCTATAGAATCTAAGTGTGATACCAGGGTGAATTCCAATCTTGGGAACCATGATTGTTTAAATCCTATGAATGACATCCTTGATACCATGTAAGTTTGAAAATTTAATCATTGCAACTTACTAAGTATCAAAATAAGAAGGTTGGATGTTTTACTTTGTGATGTTTTTTTATTTATTGTTTTAGATGATTTGATTTCAAAGGTGATCAAGGTTCTTCTAGAAGAGATTGAGACACTAAGAAAATGAAACTAGGATGCTGTGTTGGTGAGCCAATATCTTTCTGAGCTTAGAGAAGTCAAGAAACATGGGAGAAAAGAGAGAAGGCACAAGGAAGCCCAGGATGTGCTTGCAACTGCAACTACTGCTGCTGCAGCTTCTTCCAGGCTTTCATCTTTCAGGAAAGATACACTTGAAGAATCCGCTCACTAAGAGGTAGTTGACTCTCATTTTGTTAGATAACATTTTTTAGGGGTAATTTCGTCATTAAAACCCGTTCTTATAATGTGATTTCTCTAAAAACTATCATTTCAGGGTGTTGAAAGTTCGTTAACACAGTGAATCTTGTAGAGCTGTTAGATTTATCAATGAAGGACTTGGTAATGAACCAACATTGTTTATAATTTATATACTCTTGAACCATATAATTTACTTTTTACCCTCAGTAGCAACATAGTTGCTGTTTCTTTAAACTTGATTTTGAATGTGTGTTTTTGCCATCAGTGATCCTCACTGGTTCTCCAGATTGTTCTATTCTTGCAATTGATATTGAAACAGGATCTCCAGTTAGTTATGGATGGATGTTCATACAATTAGGTATTATTTTCAATATTCATATAGTTAGTTATGGATGGATGTTACAGGTGGGGGCAGATGTGCCTGCGCAAATCTTTAAGATGTCTCCCTGTTGATCGTATCTTTGTGAGGATGGGTGCAAAAGACCATATTATGGCAGGCCATGTGACTTTTATGATGCAAAGAGAGAGCTTCTGTGAATAGGTGGGGGCAGATATTACTTCATAAATTATTGTTTTCTCTCTCTCTCTCTCTCTCTCTCTCTATATATATATATATATATATATATATATATATATAATATTAATTAACAAGCTTGACTTGTCAACACGTGTAGAATGCAAATGATCCCACAAATACATTGTAGGTGAGGGTATAAAATGTTTAATTACCTTTTTACCCTTGAGGCTCGGGTTTAAATATTTACACAATGTTTTTACAGCTGTGAGAGGGTATGGTTTATCCTACCCATCATCTTCAGTGGTCCGCGTCCGGTTTTTACTGGATACACCTAGCATGCTGAATCTTAACCAAGAATCATTCTTTTTACTTCACAGACATCTGAACATTTCTATTTGTTATCAGAATTGTTACTTTGCTCTAAGAAATAATTGTGATAAACGGATTACTCTACCATACACAGGGGACAAATACCTGCTTCATAAACAAAGCACAAAATGGATCACAGTTATGACAATGGCGCCTCCAAGGCTGGAAAAGGGTGCTGAGGTGTTAGATAAGCCAGTAATAGAGAAAACAACTCCTGGAAGAGAGTCTGAGTTTGACTTGAGGTATTGTATCACTTTTAATGAAGTTTGAAATGCATATAGTAAAATATTAGGTCGATTTACCTTTTTGTTTTGTTTTTTTAGGAAATCAAGGAAAATGGCACCACCATATAGAGTGATGCTACACAATGACAACTACAACAAGAGGGAATATGTTGTGCAAGTGTTGATGAAGGTTATACTTGGAATGACAGTTGACAATGCAGTTAATATCATGCTCTTGACCTGGACACCACTCTAAAAGGGATTTTCCAAAAAAAATTGACCATCTTGAAAATATTCCAAAACCACAGGGTGGAAATATCTCTGCAATTACATGTGATTTATCAGTAAGTATCTCTTTAATTTTAATCCATTCAAATATGTGACATGGTTTTGTTTTATTTATTTATATTTATACTCATGTATATAATGTATAAAAAAATTACATAAACTGGAATTATGTAAAGATTGGTTATCAATTTTAATGATTGTTACTTTTGCACGATCTTCAATTAACATAAGACATTTGGAGAAAGCAACAGTGTCTACTGGAAAAGAAGGCTTGTTATCTGAAGGGAATGATCTACTGGAAAAGAAGGCTTGTAACATTTTTGGTTCTTGTTCCCAACTATACTTGGAACAAGGACTGAAAGTGTAACTTACTCTAAATTTTATATGTAAATTTTATTTTATCTTTTGAAGGGAAATTTACTGAATATTGATTGGTTGATGTAGTTAACTAGAATTGGTCGAGATGCAGTTTTATATGTTGAGTCGCTCATTGAGTCAATCATGGGAGGATTGGAAGGGCTAATCAACATTCTTGATTCTGAAGGAGGTTTTGGCTCTTTGGAGACACATGTTCTTACTATTTTATCAATTTCCTTAAAAAGTTACCAAATTCATGTATTAAATTTGATAAAGCTAACTTAATTGCTTTTTTTAAATCCTAGCTTCTACCAGAAGTCAGCTGAAACTACAAATGGCTTTTGATGGGCAGGAAAGATATATGAAGGTATGATATATATTGTAATTCAGATTTTATAACTTTTATTATGTAATCTCTTAAGTCTTAATACCCATTATTCCTTATGCATGTAGAGATCTTGGGAGCCACGTTATAAAGCTGATCTTCACTTTGTCTACCAAGATGTTGAAGGAGTATCAACTCAATGGGATGATATTCAAAGAAAACTCAGGAACTTACCTCCCATACCCTCTGCCTTCAAACCCGATCCCTTCACTCCTACAGAAGATGAAGATTCCAAACCTAAAACCAAATCTCGGATCGATAACAAGACAGAAGAACTCAAAGATTTAGAAGATGATCTTGATGATAGTTGTTTCCTCGAAGAATACAAGTACCTTCAACTCCCATAATCCTAATATCATTTTATGAGGGTATTAAATTTCATGTGATATTTTCATGGTTTCATTTTCTTTTGTGTTCTTGAAGTAGAAATAGGTTAGCAAAGATGAAGCAAACACTGGAAGTTTGAACTCGGAAACTTCGGGCATCACCTATGGTGGCTCGGGCAGCATCTATTTCAATATTGATTGTGTGAAAGTCATCTACTAAAGCAAGGTTGGTGTAAGAGTTGATGATGAGAACATTGTTCCAAGACCTTCAGTGAGTTATGATGATGTCCCTTAATAGCAATGTAGTATTAGGTTATATAGTTACCGATGATTATTTGTATTTGACATTTTATACAATGAATTATCTTACTTATTTATTGTATTTTATTTTGTATCTTGTATGACATTAATTTTTGTGCAATGGATTGTATTTTTTGTATATGGTGTTTTATTTCTATTATGAAAAATTAAATGCAAAATTAATTTAAAAATTTATAAATATATAAATTTAATTTTTTAAACATTTAAATTTACGATACGCAAAAATGTGTGTCATCTTCATTTATGACATGGCCTTTCTTGACAGGGGCTTTCTTGATACACATTGCGTGTCGTTAACACGCGCGTCGTAAGGTTACGACACGCGAATGCGTGTCGTCTTCCTTTATGACAGGGCCTTCCTTGATACGCATTGCGTGTCGTAAACGCACGTCGTAATGACGATGCGCAAAAGCGCGTCGTCTCTCTTTATGACAAGGCCTTCCTTGACGCGCATTTGCGCGTCGTCTGAGCCTTTTACGACGCGCAATGAGCATCGTAAAAGGCTGTTTTTCTAGTAGTGGTTATATGTAATAATAAGGGGACTTGATTATTATATGACAAAAATATAACAAAACAAATAAGTATGAGATGTATGTATGTGTGTATATGGTTAGATATCTCGAAAGTTATCCATAAAAACCCAAAAGTCCATTTTTGACACTACACCCATTTAAGAACTAGTACATACAATCAACTCTAAATATATCTAGAACTAGCATTGAAGGCCAAGTCAACTCCTAAGAGTCTACCTCTTCCTATTCACGTAATTAAGGCCTTCCAACCACAAATGCCTCAAATTCTCATTATGAAGCAAGTACCACTCATTAAAGGAGGTTGCTTTAAAGCTTCACTTTGAAGTACAATGTACATAAGAGACTTTAACACACAAACACATTCACCTCACTTTTTCTTTCTTCCTTCTCTTCTCCCTTACATATGTCTCCACTCATATAAGTTACTAGTACACATGCATGATGAATGTATGACAAAACTTCTAACTTTCCTCCATGAATCAAATCCATCTTGAAGCATAAATACCCAACTATGTTATAATTCTTTTCCTTTACATATTTCAGCCCCAAACTCACCAAAACAACTTAGCCTACCTGTTCTTTCTTTTCTGCATCGTGATCCCCAACAACACCTCTATTTGGAGGTGTTGTGCACCTTTTTTTCTAGCAAGAAAAGAGGGCAACAAAGCTATTAATTTTCCATGTCTTTGCTATCAAAATAAGCTCCAAACACCCAATGTTTTCTCCCCTACCTGTTGCTCTCTCCCTTGTGCGAAACAGCTTTAAAAATAGAAAATTAAGGAGGCAAAGAGGCTGCCGAAACAGCCCCTACCACCTTTATGCTGTCAAGAACCACTAAAACGGTGGAAACACGTGTTTCCTTACCTTTTGGACCCTAAAACAGTCCCATAATCATCCTTTCAGCGGGATGGAGTAGTTCCGGGTCTTCTTCCAAGAGTTGGTGAAGAGTTATGACAAGAATTTTTCAGGAACTCATACGAAACTGAATTGAAAATCACGCTCCAAATGTGAGTCTTTATGGCCCCGTTTTTACATTTACACTTATTTGGGGGGAAACACATACCTGAGCATTTTGATATATTAATATGGCTAAAATTTATGTGTTACATGCATGCATAGTAATGATAGATACAAAACTGTTAGACAATGTTATTATAAACACTAATTTTTTTTTCAAATAAAGTTTGTTAAAAAGATGGTGATTAGTAATGGTTATACACAAGAATTTTATAAAATGTTAGAGTTATTTACAAGCACTTGTGTAAACAAAAATGTTAGATAAGAGTATTCTAGTGTTATATTAATCGTCGGATTAAATAAAGGCATCGTTAAGAACTTGTGTCGAAATCTTGATAGATGAACACTTTTAACTTGTCATAATAGGCATAACTCTATGACTTGCGTATACTAGGGAACTAAGAATTTATTCATCAAGTATTAATAGTAAAGAACTAAAGGAGATGATTAAATAATAATAACAAGAGTATGAGAATAAAGCACAAGTAGTTATTTACTATGGTCTGAGACGAAATCTTATCGAAAAATAATGTGTATGTATTTTTAAGACTAAAATTTACTTACAAATGAAAATAATATGTTTTCAACATTAAGTAAATATTAAAAATACAAAAATATTTGTTTTAAGCGACAACTGGTCAACGGATGTAACACCGACACGTATGAAGTACTCGACTATGCTAACAGAACGTCTTTCCTATCAGTTGGTAGATTGAAATTATTTCAGTCACTACCGTCTCTTTATTCGAAAGTTAGGTTAAATTTAATATTTAACTAAATGCACTAGCTAAAAATAAAATCGTAAATAAATTAAGACTCGCGTTGGTGATCATTGGAAGCGATGGATTTTTATTGTCATGTATTTCGCAGATTGTGTATCCCGTGTGTGCTTGTGGGAGGAATGTATCGAAAGGGGTGAAGGAGAGGGTTTGTTGATGGTGTGTTTTTGCCTTGTAAGGATCAAATCTTGGAATCGACACCTAGCTCTATAACTATTAATCCAGGAGGAATCATATACTATAGGTCTATGTACACCGCATAGATTTATAATAAAGAACTTTGGTGTAGATCTAATTCTTATGGAAAGATTTATACAAATGGTTATTTTTCGTCTGTGATTGCTAGCTACAACTTCGTCTGACGAGGCAACATGCGTCAAGTGTTTCTTTCTTCGTTACTATACGATTGCTTTTTAAACGTTAGTAACGATCTCGATTCCTTTATGTTTATTTGTATTGTGCCCGTGTGGCTTGTTTATTGCGCCTATGTGGCTTGTGGAGGAGCGATGAATAGTGTCGATCATGGGCAAATTAATATATTGAAGATTTTTATTCGAAGATGTATAGATCTAGAGTGAGTCAATTCTCCCAATTTGAGACCGAGAGTGTCGAGTGTTAGGACGTTATATACTTCTCCTTACGACATAACTTTTCGTAATAGACAAGATCCAAAGAATAAAAATCGTCATGAAAATGACTAATATTTATCGTTTAAAAAGTGGCTGAATAGAAAATATGCTTTATAATTTACCGGTCTTTGGAAACATTATTTTGAATTATAAAAATCTTCGGAGTCAAAAGAAAACCTATAAAGCACACCAACATTATTGTTGACGTATTTTCAAAATGTATGTGTCCCTAGGT